AAGCAAGGCCCTCCGTGGTGACACAAGGGGTTAAAGTACAGCACTCTGAAGCTAGCCACAGCCACTTCAGCTGGAGTTTGTTCCCCAGCCAGGGAGGTCACCCACATGATGCCGTAGACTTCTGTCTCACCCTCTTCTCTCCTCAGCAGTGTATTCAGTAGATCTGCCTGCTCTGTTCCCCACTCTGTCTCTGGTGAATCCTCTCACTCTCCCGCCTCCCCCCCCCCCAACCCCTATGCCTCTGGCCTACACCTTAGCTCTTATATACATAAATAAATAAATATTTAAAAAAATCAAGAAAAGATAAAAGGGGGGGTAGTTTTGGGATCAAGATAATGTTGGCTTCATAAAAGTGTTAGGCAATTTTGCCCTTCTTCCCTTTTTTTGAAGTGTTTATGAAGAATTCATATTTGCAGTTTTGGTTGGTTTGATAGAATTCACTGGTGAAACCATCTGGTCTTGAGCTTTTGTTCTTAGGGATTTACTCTTACTTCTGTGTTTGTGATTGTTCTCTTGAAGCTCTCTGTTTTACCCTGCCATTCACCCTGCCATTCTTTCTTTCTTTGTTTCTTTTATCTTTTTAGTCTTTGTTCCTTTCCCAAGTATTTTTTTTTAAAGATTTATTTATTCATGCATACAGAACTGGGGTACAGCCAGAGGTGCAGGGTTGGTGAGAGGATTCACCATAGTTAGAGTGGAGAGCAGAACAGGCAGATTGACGAAGTACACTGCTGATGGGAGGAGTAGGCTAGGCAAGAGAGGCCTGTTACATTATGTGGGCTGTCTCCATCCCTAATGCTGCAGTGGCTGGTGATAGCTTGATAGCACTGAGATTTGAACTCCTGCACCACCAGGAAGGCCCTAAAGTAGTTTTTTTGTGCTGTTATTGATAGGCTATAATTTGACTGAACAGATTTTATTTCATTCATCCTTTTTAATATTGTAAATATTTTATTGTTCTTACTTATGTTTCTGATTTTGGGTTTCTGTTTTGCACTTTGCTCAAGGTATTTTGTTGTTTTATTCTTGTCTTTCCCTGTAGAACTTTTTTAGCATTTCTTGTAGAGGAAGACTGGTAGTGATACATAATATTGGTTTTTGTTTGTCTGGAAAACCTTAATCTCCATCATATTTGAGAGGTAATTTTTCAGGTTGGAATATTCTTGGCTGGAATTTTTAGTTTTTAGATTTGTGACTATGTAATTTCATCCTGTCCTAGTCTCTAGGAATACTGTTATAAAATCTGAAGTGAGCTTGATCAAGGTACCTTTGTATATATTTATTTTGCTTAGCAGCATTTCATATTTTTTCTCCTTTGATAATATTTTGCCTTTAGAAAATTAGGTATTTTGTCTGCCAGTTGGTTGCCTGTTGTTAGTTCTTCAGTTAGATTTAGAATGTTCTCAATTACTTCTGCTCCCTTTTCTCTTTTTTCAGGGACATCTGTTATCGTTATGTTTCCACTTTAGCGGAGTCTGATATTGTCATAATTTCTTCATCTTTCCTAAATCTTATTTGAACTTGAGTTATTTGTACATTTTGTCTCCTGTTTGCTAAGGTCCTTCTTTAAGACTAGTTTAAGTTCATTATATTCCCCATATTCATCATTTGAACTTGAATTTTTTAAATGCTTCAGTTTCATCAGAGAAGAATTCTTTTTTTTTCTAAATATTATCTTTTTCTAGTCTTGAAACTACTATTCTGTGTTTGAAAGTCTTGAATTTCATTGAGCAGCTTAATGATTGCAATTCTGAACTTGTGTAGTGAGCATCTCCAGTTAGAGTCAAAAGACTTGGACTCAGCTCCATTATCTTTTTACATATTGTGCTGTTTTGAGTTGTTGTTCTATCATATGCCCTTCTTTTTCCCCTATGGTAATGATGCTCTGGCTTTACTTTTGCATCCTCGTTAATCAGACTAGTGGGAGAGAATATTGTAGGTTCAGTGAAGTCCGTGTCTTGAGTAAATGTTGAAAGTTTTGAGTGGAAAGGGTGTACTAAAATTGGGATGTTTGTACCAGTGTTTCTGATGCTGTGAATAGCCTAAACTTTTCTTAGTGCCCAATGCCTGTTTTCCAGGTCTCCACTACAGCATCATGGGACTCTGTGGTTTCCCTCTAGCCTAAGAAGAAAAGATGCAGAGATACTGCTCTGCTCTGGCTATACTATAACTATACCTCAGTGCTCAAGGACTGATTGATCTGTCTTAGGGCTCAGTTAGGAACAAATATATATTTATTTCACACTGCAGAAGTTCACTGTATCTCCCGGGATAAGACTTCCCCACATCTGTTCATCCATCAGGAATGGCCATCAACATTCTCCCTACTCTGAAACCTTAGTGAATAACAGAAAGCTCATCTCAGGGAGAAAGATGGTTGGGTGAATCCGGTGATGCTGGTGGTATAGGTTATGGTTGCTTTTTTAGTTGTAAGTGGAGGCAAGTTTGCTATTAGAAAATATTCTGCAATCTGCTTTCCCTTACTATGATTTTGATTTGCATTTTTGTGTTAATATTTTTTCATGTGTCTATTGGCCATCTGTGTGTCTTTTTTTTTTTCTGTGTATTTTTTATTTAGGTAATGTCCGTTTACAAGACTGTAGGATTTAGAGGTATAGTTTCATACTTCTTTAGATATATATTACACTATACCCACCACCAAAGCTTCTATAATTCTCTATCACAACTTATTGGGGCTTCTCCCCCTTTGCTCTGTATGTATATTTGGGACATAAAATGTACCCATTTTTAAATTTTTTGTTGAAAACTTTAGATAAAGATAAAATCTTGAAAGTGGCCAGAGAAATACAAGCCACCTACCTTCAAGAAAGGAACAGAATTTTTAGGAAGAAATGATCATATACCTTAAACAGAGCTAGAAAAAGAGACAAAAACTTCTTTGCTTATATGAGGCAAGCCTAACATCAAAATTAATACTACCAAGAACATTACAAAAAAAATGCAAAATAATTTCTCATGAATGTGATACAAAATTTTTGAATATCAGTAAGTCAAACTAGCCATACTTTAAAAGGATAATACAAATTTAGTGGATTTAGTCAAAGAATACATGGTGGTTTTATACATCTGAGAAAAGGAGAAAAATTACATCTATTCAGTATGCAAAGATAAAGTCTATTTCTATATGTTAACAATCAAATGGAAACGTAATTTATTGAAAGACACTATAGTTTGTATCATCAAATAGTATTAGCTATTCTGAAATAAATCTAAAGAAAAGATGTGCAAATATATATACTGAAAAGCTTAGTGATATTGTCCTTGAAATATATACTTTTGAGTTGTTAGGAGTCTTGCAAATTTTTCATAGAATGAAATCAACTGTTATAAATACTGTTAATGTTTTTTAAAAATAATATATTTTTAAAATATATTTTTATTTTTACATCATTTTGTGCCTTTTTCCATCTCAGTTGTAATCCCCGGGGGCTTCCCATCACCAAATCACCTGTGTGCCATCACAATAGTCTAGTGCACTTCCCTACCCCCCTTTTTGATCCTGTTCTCCACTCCACCCTCATAAAATGTCTCTATTATATAGCTTTTCATTCTTATTTTTTTCCCCCTGGTATTTTATGCTTCTGCTATGAGTGAAACCATCTGGTATTTTTCCTTTTTTTTCTGGCTTATTTCACTAAGCATGATCATTTCCAGTTCCATCCATGTTGCTGCAAAACACATCACTTTATCTTTTTTGAATGCTGAGTAATATTCCATTGTGTATATATACCACTTTTTTTTTAAGATTTATTTATTTATGCGTACAAAAACTGAGGTACAGATCAGAGGTGCAGGGGCAGTGAGAGGATTTACCAGAGACAGAGTGGGGAGCAGGACAGGCAGATGGTCAGAGCAGCAGGCAGGTCAGGAGCAGTCTGCCAAGCCATGTGGTCACCTCCAGGGCGGGAGGGGATCAAATTCATGCGGAAGTGGCTTTAGCTTCTTAGTGCTGTGCTTTAACCTGCTGTGCCACCAGGGAAGGCCTGTACCACATCTTTTTAATCCAGTCATCTACTTTTAGGCATTTGGGTTGATTCCTTGTCTTTCCTATTGTAAATGAAGCAGAAATAAACATGGGGGTGTAGGTATCATTTTGAATCAGTGTTTTTGTGTCTTTTGGGTAGATACCTAGGAGTGGAATTGCTGGGTCATATGGAAGTTCCATTTTTAGCAGTTTGAGAAACCTCCAAATAGTTTTCCATAATGGTTATACCAGTTTGCATTCCCATCAGCAGTGCAGGAGAGTTCCTTTTTCTCTACATCCTTACCAACATTTGTTGTTGCTAGCTATTTTAAGATGTGCCATTCTCACTTGTGTGAGGTGGTGTCTCATTTTGGTTTTAATTTGCATATCCTTTATTACAAGTGATGCTGAACATTTTTTCATTTTCTTGTTGACCATCTTCATTTCCTCTTTGGAGAAATGTCTTTTTAGCACTCTGTCCTTTTTTTTTTTGATGGGGTTGTTTATTTTTGTTGAGTTTCACCAGTTCTTTGTATATCTTTGTGATCAATCCTTTATCACTAGTGTTGTGTGAGAAAGTTTTTTTCCCACTCAGTGAGATGTCTGTTTGTTTTTTGTAATGTCTCTTTTGCTGTACAGAAGGTCTTTTAACTTGATGTAGTCCCATCTATTTATCCTTGCCTTCACAATTGTTGTGTTGAGTGCTGTATCTTTAAAGATGTTACTGAGGTGTATGTCATGTAGTGTTTCGTGTTTCTCCAATCTTTTCTTCCAGGTATTTTATGGTTTCCATTCTTATATCTAGGTCTTTAATCCACTTTGAGTTGGTTTTTAGTACTGTTAATTTTTTAAAGACAAATGTGACTTTAACTGTGATTATGATTTGAATCTTTAATTATGAAATGCTCTATGTCATTACATGCTTGGTATGCATGTAAGCTTATAGGTCATTTGAGAAACCTTTAGTGTGAAATCAGATAAAGGTTTATATTGAAATCTCTTTTTTCTACTTTAGTTAAATGAAGTAAGTGAAGAAAACAGAAAGATGGAGATTCAGTCAAAAAGAGTCCAAGCTCGTTTAGATAATTTACAGGTAAGCTGCCTGATCTTCCCTTGCAACACAACTGAATTTGATTTTGCAACTGAACTGGATTTTCTCATTTTCCACATAACTGTCTTTTGTTTGCTATATATATACTATTGCAGAGGAAGTATGAGTTTATGACAATACAGAGATTGAAAGGAAATTCTCATGCTGCTCATGAAATGAAAAGTTTAAAGCAAGAAAAAGTACCAGTTTCAAAAACTTACAAGGTATGATACAATTACAAATTTTCTAGTGGAAAATTAGGAAAATTTATCTTTGTGCTTTAAGTTTTTCTTATAGCAAACATTCTTTTTGTTATTGAAGGATTCACTACACTATAATAATTCCTTTTTAGAGAAGTATCTCTAGAATTTTTTTTGGTTTTGTGTTGAAGAATTGGGGTGTAAGTCAGAGGTATACGGGGGTGGGTGAGAGGATTGACCAGTGTGGGGAGCAGAACAGGCAAATTTACTGAAGTACACTTCTAAGGGGAGCAGTGTGCGAGAAAGGAGAGGTCTGCTGTGTCATATGGGGGTTAGCAACCTGGCTGGGGATTGAGCTTCAGCTGTAGCGGTAATAGTGCTGAGACTGAATCTCTAGGCTACCAGGAAGTCCCTCTAGAATATTTCAAACATTATTTTATATGCTAGAAGAAAATAAAATGTTACAGCAGTATTTTCAATACAGTAATTGAAAATCACAAGACCTTTCTTAAGGTTAATATTAGGTTAATTTTTTTAGTGTTTTGAGATTCTTTTGATATGCTTTTTTAAAATCAGGACTACAGTCCATCATTGAATAGTCTCTGTTCACTTTTTATAACTTAAGAACTTTTTTAGTTTGAAGAATAATTGACATAAATAAGTTATTTAAAATAACACAGTGCATGGATCCTTAAATGTACAGTTTGCTCCATTTTTACAAATGCCTACACTCATCAAATTTATAACTGCATATAGAACATTTTCATCACATTAGAAAGTTTCCTCATGCCCTTTCTCTGTTCTTCCCTGTTGATCCGATTTTTACCACTGCAGATTAATTTTGCCTAGATTAGAATGTCTGTCAATTGAATTAAATGTGTATTTTTCTCATCATAACATTGGGTATATCAGTTCTTTGTTTTTTGTATGCTCAGTAATATTCCATTGTATGTAAACATGACAGTTTGTTTATTCATTCTTTGTAGCTATTTGGACTATTTCAGGTTTTGCTTATTATAAATAAAACTACTAGGAACATTTGTGTGTAAGAGTTTTTGTTGAACTATATTTTTATTCCTCTTGAAAGTATATAAAAGACTGGAATTTCTGAGTCATAAGGAGATGTATGTTTAACTTTTTACAAAACTGTCAGTTTTCAAAAGTGGGTATACCATTTTATATACCTACTAGCAATTTATGAATGACCTGGTTGCTTCATAGCCTTGCCAACATTTGCTGTTTTGGGTCTTTTTAATTTTGACCTTTCTGTTAGGTAGGTAGGGAGAACTCATTGTAAGCTTTAATAATTTTGATAAATTAAGTAGTTTTTTATGTAAAATAAATTGAGAGCAATGTTTAAAGATGGTGATATAGCAGCCCCAGCTGCAGAAGCAGGAGCCACAGTTGGGCTAATATTTTGTACATTTTTTTTTTCCATCTCAATTGTAGTCCCCGCAGGTTTCCCATCACCAAGTCACCCATGTGCCATCACCATAATCCCGTGCACTTCCATCCCCAACCCCCTGTTTTTGATCCCATTCCCCACTCCACCCCCGCAAAATGTCTCTGG